AATTCTTGGAAAGTATTAAAAGCGATCCGGCTGCATGACGGAAGTATCTGAATATAATGAAGGAGGAACATGGTGAGATCATAATTGTTTAATATCAAACAAGATTATGATATCAGAGAAGACCTCCTTGAAGTATATGATATTTTCAATCACTTACGATTTCCCGTCCCCAAATTTCCACCATTCTGGCTCATACCATTGCCCTCCCCTGAACACCAAGACCCATCTTTGGAAATTAAAATGTTTGAATATATTTTCAAAGACAGGCGAATTTAATAAAGTTGACTATGATACGAACTCTTGAACAACTACTTCCCCAGACTTCATGCACCCAATGTAAGCAGCACCTTGATCACGCCGACTTTCAAGGAGGTTAATCAAACCTTCTATCAGATTGAAAACATTTATCACACAAATAGAATATTTGATGTACGATTGGACCCAAGATAGTAGAGTCAATCACTTAACAAGAAAAGAAATTAAAGAGGAAGCATCTACCAAGATCCACGTCAATATTGTCATCAACTTTGATGTAAAACTCTGCATCCCAGTTTTGAACAGCAGCACTGAAGAAGAACTTCACTTTCTTGGGTAACTCGTCTTGAGCCTCCTCGTGATTCTCCTGATAAACCAATAGTGGCAGAAGAAAATTAGAATCCACATCGGTGAGCAAAAACCGTGTGTGCAAAAGAAGCAAAATAAAAAAAAAGATGCTAAAGCTTTTGATATTGTTTACTTACAAGAATCAGAAAATCTTTTCTTGCTCGATCTTCCTCGTCAATTTTTCGATCTAGGCTATCACCTCGGTTTGGACTGAAATTCTTAAAACATTAACATCAGTATTCTAGTCCCATACATCGATACGAAGCAGGAAAAGATGAAAAAAACACATTCCAAAAAAAGCAAAGATACAATTAGTGGGAAAACCTTCGACCAATGACAAAACGTATGACAACTCCTCTTTCCTCAAGTTTCCTCAAATCATCACCTTTAGAACAAAAAAATTTCGTGATCATACCAAATGGTAAAATGACAAAAACGGTTTCAATGATCATACCTTGTGGCATCCAAGAGCCTCTAAATGTATTGCGCCTCAGATGACTTCCAAAGCCTGTATACACTCCAATAACAGCAAGCAATTTCTTCCCCGAAGACGAACCACTCTTCTGGTTTTTCAAATAGCCTTGACTCTTTGCAAGAGTTAACTCCATTTCAGATTCAACGATCTTCCTCTCAAGATCTCTAATAACATAACAGGTACATAACATGTTATATATTACAAGCACAACAAAAGCACCCAAAATTGACAAAACCAACTTACTTGCATCCTAAGGCCATCAACTTGTCACCCACAGTAAGAACCTTAGGCCTCTACAACTCCCAAGAACATGATCAACATTGGGATTAATAAGAAGGACTCAACAAGCTTTCAAGAATGGCCAAACCTGATCATAATTCTTCGTAAGCATAGTATTGAGTACCACTCTATTCTCTGAATCTTGCCATAACCTTTAATCATAAGAAACCAGTAGCAGCAGACTAAGATAAGCATAAAATGAAGGAAGAGGGGGAGAAATGAAGGACGTACCGGCCAGCGACGTAGAGGCAAGCGAGGCAAGAGAAGAAGGCCATAATAAGCGAGGGCTTGGAGGTGTTCTGAGACTTGGAGGATCTAACTCGTCGGTCTGATTTGGACGAAACCGTCGTGGGTAAGCTCTCCATCTCAATCCACGATCAGAGGAAAGAGAGAGCAAAAATGGAAGAGAATCCGAGTGAAGAAGCATTGGAGATCGGTTACTACTGTAGTTAGTGTAGGCTCTCATAGGGGAACTAAAAATCCTGCCTAATTATTTATTGATTAATTACTTACACTAGGAGACCCCTTGCTAGGATCAGAGGGTTAGGTTTTGGCCGGGTTGCATTATGCAATTGGATACGGTTTACTCTCAACGTCCAGGTTCGGTTCGCGTCTTTCGTGTTTTTGGGTTTTCTAATTTAGGGACTATAAATAATTTGGAATAATTTGTGCAGTTTTAACTTCTATAATTTGCCATTAAGGCAGTTTAACTACTATTTATTATTGCTCCCCCTCTTGTTTCATTTTATACTATATTTAAGGTTTTTTACATGGATTCAAGAAGTCATTTAATATTTTAATTTTTTAATATAAAATATAATTTATCATTAATTCTAAAATAATTTAACCAATGAAAAAAAAATCTGCAGAATTTAAACAGTCAAAATAACAAAAACACAATTATTTTTTTTCATAWAAATCTGAA